GGGGCGCCACAAGTTTATGTTTACAGCGTTTTTTCTTATTCGATACTCCTGACGAGAAGATGAAGGAGGAATAAGGAGATTGGGGGAGAGGAGGGGGGAAGGAGGGGGGAGGAGGGGGGGAAAGAGTGATCATGGAGAGGAGGGAAGGCAAAGGAAGAGGCAGGATGAGGAGGAGGAGGAGGAGCAGGAGGAGGGGAGGAGGAGGAGTGGAGTGGAGTGGAGTGGAACCCGTTGCGGATGCAAGTGCCTGTCCACATTAAAGCGTGGCTCTCTCCTGCCGCCTGACCAGGTCGGACTTGCTGAGAGCCTTGGGGGGGACCCCTGCTTCAATGCGGTTCAAATATTCACGGCCTGTACGCGTGGGGTGACCCGAGCAAGCCTTGCCCAAAGAGCACAACTGCTTGTCGGCAATGGCCCGCACGCACTACAGAACCATATCTTCAGAGAGGTGTGGAAATTAAGAAAGTGGGATGGATGCAGCCAGGAGGAAACGGACTGGGAGGGGAGGGAGGAGAAGGAGGAGGAGGAGGAGGAGGAGCAGAGGCGGGGGAGAAATAGAAGAGGAGAGGGAGAAAGCGAGAGCGGGGGAGGATCCGCCGGCCCCCTCTTGCGGGGCCATCGGGCTGCGAGGCTTATGGGCGTGCTGCTCCCTGCGCCAGCTGCAGCCTCAAATCTCCAATGTGTGCAGTCCTGGTTTGTGCTTCCTGCTGTCCATTGTTCAACTCCGCGCGAGGGGGCAGAGCCCCACAGGACCTGGCCACCACGCCCAGATCGCGCTCTCCGAATTCATGGGGGGGCGTGGGACACCTAAAAATACGTGAGACTCACGTCCCCGGGCCATAATTCATGAAATGTTCGCGGCCCCGAGGCCACACACCCTCGTAAATTACGCAAGTGATGCATCCCCGAGGTAACAAACCCTAGTAAATTACTTCAGATTCGCGTCCCTGAAGCCATAAACCTTTCTGCAAATTACCTCGTATTCGCATTGCCGAGGCCAAGAGTTCCACAAGGCGCCCGAAGATGGTTTTCCAAGACGGCCCAAGAGGGCCCAAAGAGGCCCCAAGAGCGCTCCAAGAGGCCTCCCGAGAGAGCCCCAAGAGGCCAGGCATCGTAGATTTTACCAAGGTTTTCGCAGGATTGGAGCTGTCTCGCATCTTCAGCTTTCCGACGCTCCAAGACAGCTCAAGAAGCTCCCAAGACCGCCCCTAGACAGCCCAAGACGCCTTCAAGAGGGCAAGACGGCTCAAGAGGGCTCCAAGATGGCCCCACAGACCCACAGCTAAGGCACGGTGGCGGGATGGGCCGAAGGCCACTAGGATCCGCCGCCCCCTGCTTGCAGGGGTGCACGGCGTGCTGGACGAGTCAGGTTTTGGTTTTGGTTCTTTTTCTAAAAGAACTCCCCAGTGGGCTTCGGCCCGTCCCGCCGGCCACCCGCAAGTTTCCGAAAATCCGTCTGTCAATGCCCAAAAACGGCCGTTTCGCTCGGGACATCCTCAACAAATCGCGAAGATGGCCCAAGATGGCCTCCAAGTCCGCCCGAGATGGTCCAAGACGGCCTCCAAAACGGCCCAAGAGAGTCCAAGACGGCCCAAGACGGCCCAAGAGGCCCCCCAGAGGCCTCCCAGACGGCCCAAGAGGCCTCCAAGAGGTCCTCCAGGAGAGTCCGAAGAGGCCAAAATCATTGATTTTCCCTTGGTGTTTGAAGGATTTTGGCATTTGCGCCTTTTCGGCTCTCCGACGGCTCAAGACGGCCCAAGAAGCCCCCAAGATCGCCCAAGAGGCCCCCAAGAGAGCCCCATGATGGCCCAAGTGGCCTCCAAGATGGCCCCTAGAGGGCCCCAAGAGGGCCCAAGAGGCCTCCAACACGCCCAAGATGGCCTCCAAGACGCCCAAGATGGCCTCCAAGACGGCCCTGGAGCATTCCAAGCGGGCCCCAAGTCGGCCCATAGAGGCCCCCCAAACGGCTTCCGACGGCTTCAGACGTGCCAGGAACCCACCAAGATGGCCGAAGTTGGCTCGAAGCTGGCCCGAGACGGCCCAAAAAGCCCCAAAGATCGCCCAAAGCTTGCCCAAGAGGCCTCCAAGACGGCCAAGATGACCTTCAAGATGCCCACGTGTTCCCCGAAGGCTTTCCAAACCGATTCGGGGAACACGTGGTCCGATAGCTTGGCAGGTCTGGCCTCAACGTTCGGCCACATAGGCGCTTCCAAAAAGGCAGGGGGCGGCGGTGATTCGCCGTAGGCGTCTTCGATCCGCCGCCCCCTGCTTGCAGGGGTGCACGGCGTGCTGGATGATTCAGTTTTGGTTTTGGTTCTTTTTCTAAAAGAACTCCCCAGTGGGCTTCGGCCCGTCCCGCCGGCCACCCGTAAATTTCCGAAAATCCGTCTGTCAATGCCTTTGTTGCCCCAACTTGGCCCAAGATGGCCTCCAAGACGGCCAAGATGGCCCAAGATGGCCTCCAAGATGCCTCCAAGACGGCCACGATGGCCTCCAAGACGGGTAAGATGGCTCCAAGATGCCTCCAAGACGGCCCAAGATGCCCTCCAAGACGGCCAAGATGGCCCCAAGATGCCTCCAAGATGGCCCACGAGGCCTCCAAGACGTTCTCCAGGAGAGCCCGAAGAGGCCAAAATCATTGGTTTTCCTTAGGTTTTTGAAGGTTTTTTGCGTTTTCATCTTTTCGGCCTTCCGACGGCCCAAGAGGCCCCCAAGATCGCCCAAGAGGCCTCCAAGAAGGCCCTATGACGGCCCAAGGGCCCCCCAAGACGGCCCCAAGAGCGCCCCAAGACGGCCCAAGAGGCCTCCAAGACGCCCAACATGGCCTCCAAGACGGCCCTGAAGCGCCCCAAGAGGGCCCCAAGACGGCCCAGAGAGGCCCCCAAGACGGCTCCAGACGGCGTCAGACGGACCAGGAACGCCCTAAGACGGCCAAAGAGACCCCCAGGAAGCCCCCAAAGGCCCCCAAGAGGCCCAAGGAGGCCCCCAAGATGCCTCCAAGAGGCCTCGAAGAGGCCCCCAAGAAGCTCCCAACAGACCCCAAGGGTGCCCCAAGAGACTCCTAACAACCCTCATCCTCCTACTCTATTTCTTCCTCTTCCTCTTCCTGTTCACAATCATTCTCTCCCATGTGTTCCCCGAAAGCTTTCCAAACCGACTCGGGGAACTCATGGTCCGATAGCTTGGCCAAGCTCTAGTCCAACTTTCGGCCACATCGGCGTTTCCAAAAAGGCAGGGGGCGGCGGTGATTCGCCGTAGGCGTCTTCGATCCGCTGCCCCCTGTTGATTCATCACAGGGGTGCCTAGCGTGCTGAACCCTTTCGGTTGTGGTTTTGGTTCTTTTCCAGCAGAACTCCCCCTGGGGCTTCGGCCCGTCCCGCCGGCCACCGGAAAAGATTGCCCAGGACCTCAATCCCCCAACCAATCCTCCAAGACGGCTCAAGATGGCCTCCAAGATGGCCACGTTGGCCCAAGATGGCCTCCAAGATGGTCCAAGACGGCCTCCAAGTCCGCCCAAGATGGTCCAAGGTCCAAGACGGCCTCCAAGACGGCCCAAGAGAGTCCAAGATACCTCCAAGGTCGCCCGAGAAGCCTCCAAGACGGCCCAACACGACCCAAGAGGCCTCCAAGAGGTCCTCCAGAAGGGCCCGAAGAGGCCAAAATCATTGATTGTCGTTAGGTTTTTGAAAGATTTTGGCATCTGCTTCTTCTCGGCATTCAAACTGCTGAAGACGGCCCAAGAGGCCCCCAAGATCGCCCCAAGATCGCCCACGAGGCCTCAAAGATGGCCCCATGACGGCCCAAGAGGCCCCCCAAGACGGCCCCAAGAGAGCCCCAAGACGGGCCAAGAGGCCTCCAAGACGCCCAAGATGGCCTCCAAGACGGCCCCGAAGCGCCCCAAGAGGGCCCCAAGCCCGTTCAGAGAGGCCCCCAAGACGGCTCCCGACGGCGTCAGACGGGCCAGGAACGCCCGAAGACGGCCAAAGAGATCCCCGAGAAGTCCCCCAAAAGACCCCAAGAGGGCCTTAAGAGGCTCCAAGGGAGCCCAAGATAGCACCAACATGGCCTCCAAGACGGTCCCAAGATGGCCCAATCGAGCCCAAGAGTGCCTCAAGAGGCCCTGGAGAGGCATCCTCCCCCTTCTCCTTTTTCCTCCTTCTCCTCCTCTTCCTCTTCCTCCCCCACGTGTTCCCCGAAGGCTTTCCAAACCGATTCACATAGGCGCTTCTGAAAGGGCAGGGGGCGGCGGTGATTCGCCGTAAGCGTTTCGATAACGCCAACGTCACAATATGCGCTGATACTTCCTACCCGCCCCCCGCATGATTTTCCCACATGCGCCAAGGCAGCGCCGAGACGCACCGACGCAACTCTGACGCATCCCATTGTGATAGAGAGGGGGCCGGCGGCAGGGGGCGAAGCCCTTACGGATAATCAGGCGTTTGCTTTTGTCATACGAACGCCTTGCCACCACGATTTGTGATACTTGTGTGGCTGTATGTGGGCGTGTGGCGCGAAGAAGGAACAGGATGAAGGGGATGTAAGGGATGCGGCGTAGGGCAATGGTGAGCAGGAGAACAGGTGTGGCAGGAAGGGCAGGTCGATGATATACAAGGGGAGCAGGAGGCGCAGGAGGAGGCGCGGCAGAAGAAGCAGCAGAGGAAGGAGTACAGTCATCGTGCTGCCACAGCGACCGTTGAATAAAGAACGATGGGGCTTTCTGGACACAGCGACCCTCCACCAAGAATAGGTTCCCCCACCCACATACATAACAGCGAGGGGGCCAAACGGTCATTCAATTTCCCTGGGTGCGTGGCAGAAGTAGAGAAACGTCCGGCGGATTCTGGATGTTATGTTGTTGTGGTTGCGGTGTCGCCGTCCCCGCCCGCGACCCACCCCGCGTCCCACCCGCGACCCACCCCGCGACCCACCCGCGACCCGCCTGCGACTCATCCCGCGACCTACCCCGCGCCCACCCCCTCACTCGTATCCGCAAATGCGGGGTGCTACGTGCGAAACGGCCCCCAGACCGCAAGTTGATCATGATAATCAGGAGTAGAAGGACAAGGATAAGGTGGAGCCGCAGCAGGTAGAGGATAAGTAAGAGGAGCACAGCAAGCGGAGGAGGAGGACCAGGAGGAGAACGAGCAAGAGACGTGGAGCACGGGGTGGACTCCGCTGTGCAGACTTCCCGGCCCCGGAGCGTAGAGCTTCTGCACTTCGGGCGGACAGCTCCCGAACATGCACACGAGCCAGATCACGAGCTGGCAGCCTGGTAGACTCCCCTCGCGCCCGGGGTCTGACAATCATCCTTCAGCACCTCCACCCTTCCACTGCGCTGAGACACGCCGGCATGTGAGCCACTAGGCGGGGCTCCTCCTCCTCCTCCTCCTCCTCCTCCTCCTCCTTCTGAGCGCGTCGCGGCGGCGGCCCCTGCGACCTGCCATGCGCTAACAGCTGATGGCATGCCGCTCCGCCTCGTGGCAAAGGGTGGCCCCAGGGGGAAAGCTCCGAGACGTGGCTGCCTTGGGGACTGCGACGTGCTCCGCGCGTCGCCCCGAAGCGCAGTGGGCCAGAGCTGCCGGCGCGACACGCTGAGCAGGCGCTCCTGATCGCGATCCCTCTTCGCTGCCTCTTTTTTGGGGGGGACTCCTCGTCCTCCTGCTCCTCCTCCTCCTCCTCCTGCTCCCTCTCCACCTCCTCTTCCTCCTCCCCCTCACTCCTCCTCCTCCTCCTCCTCCTCCTCCTCCTCCTCCTCCTCCTCCTCCTCCTCCTCCTCCTCACTCCTCCTCCTCACTCCTCCTCCTCACTCCTCCTCCTCTCCTCCTCCTCATCCTCCTCCTCACTCCTCCTCCTCACTCCTCCTCCTCACCTCCTCCTCCTCCTCCTCCTCCTCCTCCTCCTCTCCTCCTCCTCCTCACTCCTCCTCCTCACTCCTCCTCCTCACTCCTCCTCCTCACTCCTATTTGCGAGGCGAAAAAGACTTTTGGGGTCCCCAGGAGGAGGACCGATCAGCGCCAGCAGCATCGCCACGAGGTAGGGGCCGCACCCCGTGAAGTCGCTCCTGGGCTCGGGGGGGGAATGAGGACGGAGGAGGACGGAGGACGGAGGACGGAGGGGGGAGGAGGACGGAGGAGGAAGAGGACGGAGGACGGAGGGGGAGGAGGAGGAGGAGGAGGAGGAGGAGGAGGAGGAGGAGGAGGAGGAGGAGGAGGAGGAGGCCGGAGGACGGAGGACGGAGGGGGGAGGACGGAGGACGGAGGACGGGAGGGGGGAAGAGAGCGGATAGGGGGATGGAGGAAGCAGGGGCGAGCGTGGAAGAGGACGCAAGCGGGAGGACGGGAGGGGAGGAGAGGAAGAGAAGGCAGGTGCCCCTCACTCGCCATGCCCATCCAGACCCATCCATTCACGCTCCTCCTGAGGCCGGAGTGGAAAAGCGGAGGGAGGGGAAGGAAGGAGGAGGAGGGGGGGATTGGGGAGAATTAGGGGAGGGGAGGCGGAGGGGAGTGGGACGGGGGAAGAATTCAGGATGAGGATGAGGAGGAGGATAAGGAGAAAGAACCTCCTCCTCCTCCTGTTGATCCTGTTCCTCCTTTTCCCCCGCATCCGCCTTACCATCTTCCTCCCCCGCCTCCCATCACCATCGCCATCGCCATCACCACCCCTACTATCAGAAATGAGGATTCGTCGTCATCACCATCAAACCATCATCATCACCACCATCACGATAGTCGTCACCATCACCATCATCCCAATCATCAGTCATAGCATCATCGACGTCATCGCCATTGTCGTCGTCAGCTTTACCACCGCCATCATCATCATAGCCATCACCACCACCACCACAAACAGCATCATCAGCAGCATCAGCAGCAGACACAACATCATCAAGATCAACATCACCATCAGCAAAAGCCGCAATATCGGCATTGCTATATTCATCATCCTTCTCATCAGCAACACTATCAGCGTCAACATCACCAGCATCATCATCAGCATCATCATCGTCATCGTCGTCGTCAACAGCAACATCAACAACAGCAGCAACATCACCATCAAACTCATCATCAAGCACATCCGCATTTAGGTGTGCATTCCCGTCGTCCTCCTCCTAATCGATCTCCTCCTCCGCATCGTCGGTATCGCCATCATCATCATCATCATCATCATCATCATCATCATCATCGTCAGCATCATCATCATCATCATCATCATCATCGTGGTCATGATCATCTTCATCATCAGCATCAGCATCAACAACATCACCATCAGCAGCATCGTAATCATCATCATCATAAGCATCATCAACATCATCGTCATCATCAACACAACCATCATCATCGTTACCAGCACCTTCAGCATCCTCATCCGCATCCTCATCCTCAACATCGCCATCAGCATCATCATAATCAGCATCAGCATCATCATCAGGAACAACAGCAACAACCGCAGCAACACCATCCGCATCATCATCCTGATTAACATCCTCGTCATCGCCGTCGTCAGTATGTCAAGCGTCATCCCCCCTCTTCCTCTTCCCAGTCCATCTCCCACGTCCCATCATCCATGGTCGATCCTTCTCGTAATCCTCCTAGTACGCCTCCTTCTTCTCCTCCTCCTCCTCCTCCTCCTTCTCCTCCTCCCGTTCCTTCTCCTTCGTCTCCTCCGCCTCCTCATCCTCCACCTCCTCCGTTTGCGCTCGTCCTGGTCTCCTCCTCCTCCTCCTCCTCCTCCTCCTCCTCCTCCTCCTCCTCCTCCTGCACACTCCCTCCCAGCATCCTCCGCCCCCCTGGGGCAAGGAGAAGGAGGAGGGGAGGGAAGGAGGCAACAGCGGCGGGACGAGGAGGAGCAGGCGGGGGGCGGGAGCCAGGTGGGAGCGGGCGGGAGGACGCCCGGGGTCGCTCTTCGTGTTCCACGCGTAGAGCGTGAGGCCGATCACGACGATCGACGTGGCGAGCAGCGCTGCCACCACGGCCTGGGTCGAGTAGGTGGAGCAGACAGCGCCGACCTGGCACCGTCCTCCTTGCCCGCTCCCCCCCCCCCAGGCTCGCGCGCCACGGGCTGCCGATGCTGCTGCCCCCCTTTCCCCCCCTCCTCCTCCTCCTCCTGCTCCTCCTCCTCCCTCCTCCTCCTCCTCCTCCTCCTCCTCATTATGCTCCTGCTCATGATTGCTGCTGCTGCTGCTTCTGCTGATGCTGCAGCTGCTGCTGCTGCTGCTGCTGCTGCTCCCCTCCTCCTCCTCCTCCTCCTCCTCCTCCTCCGCCTCCTCATCCTCCACATCCTCCGTTTGCGCTCGTCCTGGTCTCCTCCTCCTCCTCCTCCTCCTCCTCCTCCTCCTCCTCATTCTGCTCCTGCTCATGATTGCTGCTGCTGCTGCTGCTGCTGCTGCTTCTGCTGATGCTGCAGCTGCTCCTCCTCCTCCTCCTCCTCCTCCTCCTCCTCCTCCTCCTCCTCCTGTTCCTCATCCTCCTGCTGCCTGTCGCCCCCCTCACTGGCGACATCCTCCTCCTGGCCCTCCCTGGCCTCTTCCCCCTGTTCCTGCCCCTCCACGGCCGAAGGGGGCAAGACGAGGATGAGGCAGGACGAGGGGCAAGCCCAAGATGCAGCAACGATGGTGCAGTACAGCAGTGCACCCTCCCGTCTTGCAGCCCGACCTCCTCCCTCTGCTCCCCGGAGGGCCGTCCTCCGGGAAGAAGCGCAGCCACGGATGGAGTCGTGTGGGTCAGCGACGGAGGAGGAGGATCGAGGAGGAGGATCGAGGAGGAGGATGAGGAGGATGAGGAAAAGGAGGAGCAGGAAGATGGATGAAGAGGAGGAGCAGGAAGATCGGGGAGGAGGAGGAGGGGGAGGAGGAGAGGACAGCGATCGAAGATCTGTCATGCCATCAGGAACCAGGAGCCAGGAGGAGGAAGACGCCGAAGTCGAGGAGGGGGAGGAGGGGGAGGATGAGGATGAGGATGATGATGATGAGGAGGAGGAGGAGGAGGAGGTCGGGGAGGAGGACCACACATCCTTCATGCAGCCCTGTTCACTGCGGAGAGCACCCCCCTTGAAAGACGAGAGCCCCTAAGAACCTGCCATTCATGCGACTGGCCCGCTGCGAAACCGGTCGGCTCTCCACTCTTCCCGATGGGCCCACCACCATGTCGTAGGCACCGAGTGGATTGTCCGTCCTCAGGCCCCTTCGGGCTCTCTGCGCTGACCAGTGCACGCACTCTTCCGGGGGATCCAAGCCCCGAGGTACGGCCGCTGCTGGGCGCTCTCTCGCGAGTTCCTGTGAATCCCCACGTGGCTTTTTCGGAGGCCTCGGGGGCGTGGCTGGGGGTCGAAACCTCGGACATGCTCTGCGATGGCCTCCGAAGCCCGTGCTGGCGCTGTCTTGCTGACCTCTGGGGCCGCCGTGCATGCCCTCCGGGCTGGCCGAACGGGCCACATTCACTCGACAGGCCGAAGGATCGCTCCCCCGAGCAGCGCCGCCACTTTTCACTCCGGGGTTCCCAGGCTACTTCGGGACACCGGCTGGGAATGCTGGGCTCTCGACTGCTGCCCAGTGGGCGGGCGCCTCGTGGGCGCCGCGTCTTGGGGGCGGACGCGCCAAGCTTCGGCCTGCTGGCCGCCCGTCGCCGCCCTGTGGGCGCCAAGAGCGCTGGGCGGGCGTGCCGAGGGCTCGCCCGGCGCCCGCCCGTGGGGCGCCTCGTGCGCTGGGTGGGCGCGCCCACGCTGCCCCTGCCGCCCGCCTCGTGGCCGCCTCGTGGGCGCCTCGTGCGCGGCACGGGCGTGCCGAGGGGTCGCCCGGCGCCTGCTCGTGGGCGCCTCGTGGGCGCCTTCCTGCGGCGGACTCGTGGGCGTGCCGAGGCCTCGCCTGGCGCCTGCCCGTGGGCGCCTCGTGGGCGCCTCGTGCGCTGGGTGGGCGTGCCGGGGTTTCGCCCGGGGCCCGCCCGTGGGCGGCCAGTGGGCGCCCACGGGCGTGTGCCTCGTGCGCTGGGCTGCAGCCTTCAGCGCACCGCATGCCAACGTGGACCCCCAAGCAGCAAGTGGTTGTACTGGGGACTTGCAGCGTATATGTTGCGACTATGCGGTGTAAGCTACGCGGTGCAGTCGATGTGGTGCAAGCTATGTAGTGCAAGCGGTGCAGTTCAGTACATACATGTACATATAAGGTACAACTATGTGGTGTAAGATATAAGGTATGTAGCGCAAGCTGTGCGGTGCGAAACACGTGAAGCCTATGTGGGGTAGGCCGCGTGGTGCAGTACTGTATACGTGTTGCAAGTTGTGCGGTGAAACATGAGTGGTCAGAGCTAGGTGGTGCAAGCTACCTGGTGTAACAGTTCTGTGAATACATGAACCTATATATATATATATATATATTTATTCTGTATATGTATGTATACATATACGTATTATATGTGTGTATATATACACATATGGTCAAGCTGTGCTGTACGAGCTGTGTGGTGCAAAGTAGGTGGTGCAGGCCACGTGGTGCCAGCTGTGTGGTGCAGCCCGCATGCTGGCACGCTGTGCGGCGTGAGCTCTGCGGTGGGCGCCGGGCGGCCCCCGCGCAGCGCCCACGCGAGGCGCCCACGGGCGGCCACGAGGCGCCCAGCGGCGGCCACGGCCCACGCGCGGCCACGCACGGCGCCCACGGGCGTTGCCCGCGAGGCGTCGACGGGCGGCCACGGCCCACGGGCGGCCACACACGGCGCCCAGGGGCGGCGCCCGCGAAGCGTCGACGGGCGGCCAGCAACCAGCCATCGGACAGAACCCCGCCGTACACGTGCTTTTTCGTCGGCGGTGGGGCATAAGCCATCCGCACCAGCGCGGGGCCAGCCGGGGCCACCGATCGGCAAAGCGTCCGGCGTGCGAGAGAGAGAGAGAAAGAGAGGCGAAGAACGCCGTAACTGCACATCCAAGCCCCCAACAAAACAGACTAAGAACCCCTGCAGTGCGGGCGCGGTCGTAAAACAACCCTCGCAAGAGACCCAGCCCTGAAAACACGCGCGCGATGTGCACCTGAGTGGAAGCCCGGAGCACCCTGGACGCATCAGCTTCTTTGACGGCCGCGGGAAGTCACATCTCAGCACGCGGAGCGAAGAAACCCAGGGTACCCTGAAGAAAAGCATCTGACTTCTTGATGCGCGCCCCCACTGTAAGTGTAAGCACCGTCTGGGGAATACCAAGCAGAAGAGGGAGACGCCTCCCAGGTGGCCCCAGGAGGGGTGGCACGAACTGACGCTCGGAGCACGTCACCCCAGGATGCCCTCCGGGACCGCCTCCAGGGCCCCAGCAGGCACCCAAGAGGCACACAGAAGCCGCCAAGAGGTCCCAAGGAGGCCCCACGATGCCCGAAAAAGGCCCCAAGGAGACGCCCCGAACCCCCCACCCCAAAAGGCCCCCAGTGAGGCCTCCTCCGAATGAACCCCAGGAGGCAACTCAGAGAGGCCTCTGGTCACCGACGGGCCCAATCCTCCGGACCCATCTGCTCCGACCCCGTCCGAAGGTTCTAGATCGGGGACGCACTCGCGCGGGCAGGGCTGGACCTGAACGTTGTTGTCCGTTCTGCTTTCGCCTTGTCCTTCGTTGTGCTCTACCTGTGGTCGTGTATCTCCCTGCCAAGACGACAAACAAAACACGGCCGAAGTCCAGCAACACAATGTTTAGGTCCAGCCCTAGACGCGGGTCAGTGCACACCCGGGTCAGTCAGGATCCTGCAAGATCCTGCGGGATCCCGCAGGATCCTGACTGCAAGCCCGGGTCAATGCACCCCTGGCTCGGCAGGATCCTGCAAGGTCCAGCGTTCTGGCTGACCCCGGTTTGCATCGACACACCGTCTGAAGGCTGGGGAAACCCAAAACACCGATACAACTACTCTCCAGACCTCTCCCGGGGCACGTTATGACCAGGATTTCGAAGCGAATCCAGCCATGGCGACGTGGGCCTCCGAGGAGGCCCAAAACAAGGAAAACGAAGAAAGGGTAGCGGGATGCGTACCTTTTCCTCCCCTTAAACCCAGATCCCCGACGCAATGCATTTTTCAATGACGTCGACCCCTAGATGTCTGGACCCCTTCCCCAGGACCACTTTTTCATCCTGAGTCGTTTTTTTTGACGGCTCCAGGGCCCGGCAAGGGCCCCCAAGGGCCGAAAATAGAAAGAAACCTCCTTTCGTGATTTTTCATAACCGGAAGGGGTTCTAGGGTTAGGTCGGGCATGTCCCCCTACAGGTGGATTCTGGGCGAAAAATTAAGAATAGTCGAAACATATCCCACACATGCTAAAAATAGTCGGGAGATCGTCCCCCACTCTTTTTTTTGCTACTTTTGAATACTCCTCCTGTAGAGGAACACGCCCGACTTAGGTGTAGGGACCAGGACGCCCTCGAACGCGGTGAAGATGAAGAGGAGGATGTAATTCTGCGGCACCTCTGCCGGCAGCGGCGGGCCGGAGGCCCGCGCGGGGAGGGCCCTGCCCCGCCTCCGCCTGCATCTCCTCGTCCTTCTGTCCAGCCCCCCACCCCCTGACCTCAGAGTGACGGGGGTGGTGGGAACAGAGAAGGAGGAGGAGGAGGAGGAGGAGGAGGAGGAGGAGGAGGAGGAGGAGGAGGAGGAGCAGTAGGGAGGAGGCGAAGGAGCGGGAGGAGGGAGGAGGAGGGAGGAGGAGGAGAAGAAGAACGGAGAGAGAGGAGAGGAGGAGGAGGAGGAGAGGAGGAGGAGGGAGGAGAGGAGGAGAACGGGAGAGAAGGAGGAGGAGAAGAGGAAGAACGGGAGAGAGGAGGGGAGGAGGAGGAGGAGGAGGAGGAGAAGGAGGAGGAGGAGGAGGAGGAGAGAACGAAGAGAGTAGGAGGAGGAGGAGGAGGAAAAGGAGGAGGAGGAGGAGAATCAGGAGGAGGAGGAGGAGGAGGAGGAGGGCAAGGAGGAGGAGGACGGGAGACAGGGGAAGGAGGAGAAGGAGGAGGAGAATGAGCAGGAGGAGGAGGGCGAGGAGGAGGAGAAGCAGGAGGAGCAGGAGGAAGAAGATGCGGCGGCGGCGCTCCACAAGAGTCCAATGAGGGCTGGACGAGGACAGGGGGAAGAGGAGGAGGAGGAGGGGGAGGAGGAGGAGAAAGGAGAAGGGGGAAGAAGGGGGAGGAAGGAGGAGAAAATGGTGGCAGATGGAGAAGGAGGAGGAGCAGCAGCAGCAGCAGCAACAACGGGATGGTTGATGGTGAGCAGAACACGAGGCCAAGGTGGGAGACAGCGCGAACGACGAGGAAACACAGCAGAGAGCCTTCCTCGCCATCTCGGGGCAGCAAACCAGCGAGAACATGGTGACAAGCGTCATCACGCTGGAGAACATGAGGACAGTGCTCACCGATGCTGGGTCCATCTTGTCAAGGTTGATGCTTACCTGAGGTGCCGGCCATGCGCGACACGACATCTTCCATCTCCTGTCTTTCATTGTCATCATTACCAGTCTCCTCATCCTACTTCTCCTCTTCCTGAGATCCTCCTTACCCTCATCACCATCATCTTCATCATCAGCATCCTCCTCATCAACATCATCATCACCATCATCACCATCATCACCATGATCATCATCAACATCATCATGATCAGCATCATCATCCTTACCGTCCTTCTCCTTCTCGTCGTCCTCCTTCTTCTCCTCCTCCTCCTCTTTCGAATTGATCCTGGTTTTCCACCACCATCGTTCTAAGTATCCTCCTCCTCCTCCTCCTTATCCTCTCCTCGCCATTCCTTCATCCTTTCACCGTCTTCCATAAATCATCCCTTATTCAATCGTCCTCTCCCTCTCTACCTGCTAATCGTAGTCGTCCTCCTCTTCCCCGTCCTCATCATCGTTTTGACAGTTGCCTCCCACCTCATGCTCGTCCCCCCCCCTCCTGGGAGGGAGCGGGGGTGGGGGGGTCTGGCTCCAGACCTCTGCTTAGTGCGACGGTTTGCAGCACTGCGTTCTCTGGGGGAGAGCCCACCCGCTCGCAACAGGTGTCAACACACAGCCAAGATCTACCCCAGGGGGGGGAGGGAGGGAGGGGGGGGTGCGAGGGCCCGCGCCGCTCGGCAAAACACTGAATCAGAAAACGATCGCCATCATGTTTTTTGGGGGCAACGTAATGCCTCCAAAAGTGTCCACACAAGCTCAGGCGCCACGCCTTATCTGGCAATATAATGCCTCCAAAAAGTGTCCTCACAAGATCAGGCGCCGCGCCTTATCTGGCAACGTAATGCCTCCAAGAAGTGCCCAAACGATCACCTACATGTCTGGCGAAGACAGGCCCTGTCGAGGGCCACCTTCGCTCGCAGGCCCTGCCGTCCTCTTCCCACATGGGTCTCCCGCGGGTCCACTCGGAGGTGGTGCGAGAAGCGCCAGGGCGAGAGGGCGGGAGCTCTCTTCCCCCATGCTCCAGGGCCCGTTCCCCTCTGCGTCCTCGTGCTCACCATCCTCCCATCGTTCTCCATATCCTCCGCCTCTTCACCCCCAGCCCCCATCGTTCTCCATATCCTCCGCCCGTTACCCTCTGCGTCCTCGTCCTGTTCCTTCCAGCCCCCATCGTTCTCCATATCCTCCGCCTCTTCACCCTCCTCCTCTGCCCTTCGGCCAGACGCACGCACAAAAAAAAGCGTAGACATAGACCCACGGAGCTCCGCGCGGACTTCTTGGATCGGCGCTGGGGGCCCTCCCGCGCCAGGGACTGTGCCAGAGGCGCCGCCAGGTGGGCCCAGGGGTGCCGACCCATGAAATCCGCGCGCGGAGCTCCGAACGTTTATGTTTCTGCAGCTGCTTCTTCGACTCCTCGTCCTCCCATTTCGCCCCCTCCCCGCCAACCTCTTCCTCCCCCATCCTCCCCGCGACCGGCGTGGAGATCGCGGCAGTCAGCAGCAGCTGCGCACCGGTGATGCCGTAGACCTTCTGACGCACTCGCCCCGTCGTCACCGGCGCCCCCATCGCTGTTTTTTCGTACGTGTGTGAAGGAACAAGAGATCATGAGAAGGGGGAGGGGCACAATAAGAAGAGGAGGACGAGAAAGATGCTCGAGAGAGGGGGTGAGGGGGAGGACGGGGAGGACAAAGAGGCATAGGCGGAGGAGGAGGAGGGCGAGAAGGAGGAGGAGCAGGAGGAGCCACGCCGAAACGCTCGTTGAGGGGCCACGCGTCCCAAACCCCCTCGTTGTCGCGAACAGAATCACGACGGGAGGCTTTCCGCTATCTTCGGCTTCATGGTGGCCCTCGCTTAGCCCCGGAAGCGTCAGCAGAACTGATCGGGATGTGACACCGGTCCCAGGAGATGGGTCGAGAACTCCGGGGGAGTCGACGCTGCGAATGACTACCTACCAGACCACCCAACCCAACCCGAAGACCCGAGTTTCGCCCGAATTTCGGGTTGGCGGGGGTACGGGCTTCATATGCATTTTTTCATGAACTCCCCCCACTGAAAATTGAGGACAAATCGGGGCGTTCGGGTTGGGTTGGGGTGGTTCGGTGGGCGGTGAAAAAAAAATCATGACGTCGGGGGCCTGGCGTCGATCTGCACGTGCCAAAACCCAGGTCCAGGCGCAGCCCGTCGCATGGGCCCCAGCCTTCTACGGAGAAGCGGCCCCCAGCCCGACAGGAGTGGCACACTGGTGACGAAGGACAACGCTGCCAACGAGAACGTGTCGTATGCAGCTGGAGCCACATGTAGTGGGACGCACAGAGACATACGAATACGATATATCCTCCTTGGAGGCGCGCGCCCGACCCGAACATATAGTACACCCATCTTGTAGCATATCGTTTCCCGAGCGGTGTGACCAGAAAACGCCCGTCACGACGCATGTACTCTATGTTGTATGGAAGAAGAGCGTCTCAAAAAACATTCCGGACAACTCCCCGGACAACCCCTTCGAGATGGAGACCACAAGTGCCCTAGCATGAAAATGTGGCCAACGATTGAGCGAGAGCTCCGTTCCTACTAGGGATGTGGCCGGCGAACTGGAGAGAGCTTCTGTTGCAATCAGGGATGTGGCTGGCGCTCAGGCGACAGCAACATCCAGTGCTCGGGGGACAGCTCACATCCAAATCGAGAGTGTAATCACCGCTCAGGCGACAGCACCACTCCAGTTCAGGGATATGACCTGTGCTCCAACGACAGCACCATTCGCAACCTTACCCCCGATTCCGTAGGAGTGCTGTGTCTGCTCATCCTTGGGTCAGGGCACCTTTGTGCAGAGAGTTGCGAGGCCGTCGCAGGCAAAACTGGCTGGACAACCTCGCGCGCAGCATCTCAGAAGCCATGGCTTCGAGGATGTCCCGGGCGAAATTGGGGCTGGACAACCTCAGATCAGGACATGCCATCCGCGAGCTCAGAGTTGCGAGGATGTCGCAGGGGAAGGTGGCCTTGGCGCTGAGGAGGCACAAGACAAGGCCTCCTCCTCCTCCTCCTCCTCCTCCCTGTCCTCCTCCTCCTCCTCTTCCTCCTCCTCCTCCTTCCAACCTTCTTCCTTCTCCTCCTTGGCAGGAGAAGGCTGAAGGCTGAAGAATGAGGAGGCACAAGACAAGGCTTCGGCAGGACTGCGCCAAGACAACCCCCGGACAACCACCAGGACAACCCGGCTGACAACCCCCCAGACAGTCCCCTTGAGAACCCGACGTGCGGGGGACAGGCCTTGTCCTTGTATTGGGGGTCGACGGTGGCTGTCTTCTCTCGGACTACCTGAGGTCAGGGCAAGTCTGAGACCAAGGTTCCGAGAACGGACCGTCTCGTGGGCGGCATCTCCGAGCGCAGACTTGCAAGGATATCGCAGGCGAAACTGGCCGGAACACCTCAGATCTGGGCATGCGTAAGCCCAGACAACCTCCTCATTTTGAGCATGTCTCTGTGCGCTGGTCCCGCGGCTGGAACTAGCTTCTACAACTACAAGACTTCAGCCAGCCACGCTTCGCGGGAAACAATGATCAATGAGGATGTTCGCGCGGAAGCGGGAGGACGCGAGAGGAGGAGGAACGAAAAAGAGGGTAAGGAGGAGAGAGGCACCCTTTCCAGCTGGGTTTGACTGGCTGTGCCACGCTTCTGACGATATGGATGATTAAAGCATGTGCGTGCGTTGGCAAACGGGCACGGCCCGGACAACCCCTTAGACAACCCCGCGAGGAGCCGGACCCCCCCCCCCCAGACAACCCCCCCTGGACAACCCTCCCCATAATTTTTGCCATGCAACATAAATGTCGCCGTGCGCGCGTCACCCCGTGGGGGGACGCAAACATAGTAGTAGTAGTAGTAGTAGTAGTAGTAGTAGTAGTAGTAGTAGTAGTAGTAGTAGTAGTAGTAGTAGTAGTAGTAGGTTGGGGCGGCGCCGATGTAGCCTCATACCACTCAAAGCCAAGCCGTCCACCCGTTCCCGATACCGTACAACTTGGTTCGCCTTAAAAGCGCCCTGGGCGTTTTTTAGCTTTTCCACGTCGGGTTCTTGACAAGCTGAAAACGCTAAAAAAACGCTATTTGTTTTAGCGTTGGTAGGGCTGTGTTTGTGGCTTTGTTTGTATTGTTTTTTTTGCGCTTTCATGCTGAATGCGCTGAACGACCAGTCTGACAACGCTTACACAACGCATGATTTTCTTAGCGCTTCTACAAAACAGTATCCTGGCGAAAGACCCAACCATATGCAGTTGTGGGCACCGAAATTGTGAATATCTTCTTCGGTGAAGCTCCCTATGGGGCCACGAAGCGCTGCACTGGGTGGGGGGGGAGCGCATGCGGACGGTTCCACGGGGGGCTTCGGCGGAGCTCCCTATGGGGCCACGAAACGCTGTATGTAGAGGGTGGGTGAAAATGCCAAATTGGGTTTCCGGGACGCATGCAGACGGTCCCACTAGGGGCTTCGGTGGAGCTCCCTATGGGGCCACGAAGCGCTGTACTGGGTGGGTGAAAATGCCAATTGGGGTTTCTGGGACGCACGCGGGCAGTCCAACTGGGGGTTTCGGCGGAGCTCCCTATGGGGCCACGAACCGCTGTACTGGGTGGGTGAAAATGCCAATTGGGGCTTCCGGGAAGAACGCGGGCGGTCCCATTGGGGGTTCGGCGGCGCTCCCTATTGGGCCACGAAGCGCTGTACTGGGCGAGCGAAAATGCAAACTGGGCTTCCAGGACACATGCGGGCGGTCCCACTGGAGGTTTGTGTGGAGGTCTTTATGGGGCCAAGAAGCGCTGACTGGGTTCGTGAAAATGCCAAATTTGGTTCCTGAGCGCATGCGGGCAGTCCCACGTGGGGCTTCGGCGGAGCTCCCTATGGGGCCACGAGACGCAGTACTGGGTGGGAAAAAATGCAAAATTGCGTTTCCGGGACGCATGCAGGCGGTCCCACTGGGGGCTTCGGCGGAGTTCCCTATGGGGCCACGAAACGCTGTAGAGGGTTGGTGAAAATGCCAAATTGGGTTTCCGGGACGCACGCAGACGGTCCCACTGGGGGCTTCGGTGGGGCTCCCTATGAGGCCACGAAACGCTGCACTGGGTGGGTGAAAATCCCAAATTAGGCTTCCGGGGCGCATGCGGGCGGTCCCACTGGGGACTTCGGTGGAGCTCAGTATGGGGCCACGAAGCGCTGCACTGGGTGGGTGAAAAACCAGATGGGGTTTCCGGGACGCATGCGGGCGGTCCCACTTGGGGCGTCGGTGGAACTCCTCATGGGGCCAAGGAGCGCTGTCCTGGGTACGTGAAAATGCCAATTTGGGTTTCCGGGGCGCATGCGGGCGGTCCCACTGCAGGCTTCGGTGGAGCTCCCTATGGGGCCACGAAGCGCTGCACTGGGTGGGTGGAACGCGGGGAGGTGGGAGGATGGGGAGGAAGGAAGGAGGGAGGATGGACGCGGGGACCGTCTTTTCACAACGAGGACCCAACACCACAGGATGGTTGGAGAATGATTTCCAAAGCGCCGAGCTGAAAACGCTCCTCCCAAAAAACGCCCTGGGCAAATTTAAGGCGAACCAGGCCGTACAAGAGCCGTCTCCCACACAGGAAGGGCGCGGCAAGCACACAGCACAAACCAAGCAATTCAAAGCGCAGTGCGCCCCAGGGGCGCACCGCACCCTGGCAGCGCCCCGCTGTGCATCCCCGAAGAATCCTCCAAGCATTCGAAGAATGCGGAGGGCAGAAAATCTCCCCCCCATAATAAATCACCCCGACAAGCGAAGCTGTCTCGTAAACGAACCCAAGGAAAGAATCGAACAGGGCAGGGCTGTTTAGTAAACGCCCAGAGCCGTTTAGTAAACGCTAGTTGCCTGGTCTGGGTGGTTTTTCCTCCCTGTATAATGATCTGCGCGAGACCCCCAGGAAGGCGGCATTGATGTCCACGAGATCCAGAACCTCTGGTTCTGTCGGCGTCGTGAGCACCTCGCGCTGCTCAGGCTCGGCAAACGTTGGCACGCACTGGCAGGCCTGGAAGACATGCGATGCCCCCCCCCCCCACTCTCGGGGATACAGCACAGGCTGCCGAGATTGAAGATGCAATCGCCCAACCCCGCCCCTGACAGCTCTTCCGCGTGAGCTGCCCGCCGATCTGTTTGCGCCGTCGGCGTCCACAAAGAGCGCGTGGAGTTGAACACGATGGCCATGACCGGCTGCCCCAGCCCGTCCCGCAATGCCACGCCGAGGTCCCCGCGCGGAGGGCTGCGACGGACCAGGGGCGGTCTGCACACACTCCCGCCGACAGCACCAGCACGTGCGAACCTACCGTGCAGCGGGCCACGGGGAAGGCTTCTGCACTCGCGGGCCGCGCGGGCGCCGGCGGGACGCACAACACCCCCGCGACGCTGCACCTCCGCGCCCAGACCCCCGACGTTGTGATTTTGTTCGCAGCGGACCCCCAGAGGTCTGGACCCCTTCCCCAGGACCAGTTTTTCATCCCGAGTTGTTCTGTTGACGCCCCCCGGGAGGCCCAAAACAGCGAAACACCTCCCGTCATGACTTTTTAACCTCGCGAGGGGGTCGGGGCGCTCTGCTGCGCGAGGCCACCTGCAGCCCAGTGCCCGTCAGGGCACACTGCACGAGCATCCCCCCCGACGGCGGCGACCATTCCAGGAGGGGACGGGGCGACGAGCACAGAGCCCGCGTGCCCTCCCGACATACTCTTCTTAACGTCGCGGCGAAGCAGAGGGACTGCGCTGGCGAGTACAGCCGGGCTGCTGAAAGAAGGAACGATAAACAAGGAACGAAGCCCCTTTTTGGCCCCACAAGCGCCTGCGTGCACGAGGAAGGCCAGAGGAAAAGCCATGGAAGGAGCTAAGGAATATCGAGCCCCTTTCTGACCCAAACTGTTCTTTATGTCAGCGACTTGGCTGTAAAGCGAAACGGGGCAATGTTAGGCGAATGCGGTCACCATGCAGGAGGGCACTCCCGACACACATACATGCACCCCCGGCGGCGGCAGCGGTGGGTGCGCCTCGCGGGCGGGTGTGGGCGCGCCTCCCGTGGAAGCCGCCGAGGTCGAGGAGGGAACGACAGGCAACAAAAGCACCCCTAACCCTTTGGAAGGGGACCTCAGAGGATCGTGGCCTCCGAGGGGAGAGCCGCAATCGACTACACCCCCTTCCGCCCCAAGAGGCCCCCAAGAGCCCCCCAAGAGGCCCTGGGGGCCCCCCAGACGCCGCCAAGGAGCCCCAAGAGACTCCCAAGAGGTCCCCAAGAGGCCCCCAAGAGGCCCTGAATAGGGATCCAGGGCCGGCGGAATGAGCGAAGCGATCAATAAAAGCACCCCTAACCCTTTGGAAGGGGACCTCAGAGAGGAGGAGCAACAACACTAGGGACAGGTTTTATGTTTGCCTGCACACGTCTCAGAACAGACCGCGCACACTCATCATCGCTAACGCGAAGACGGGGACCTAAGTGAGGCCACGCCTTCATCGTGTTCTTAGGGTTAGGGGCTCTTGCGTTCGCGATGAGGGAAGGGGAGGAGGAGGCAGAGGGAGAGGGAAAAAAACAGATGGAGGACGACCGCGGGCCTTCCGCACGAAGCCCAGCCGGGCCTGCTGCGATGCCTCCTTCACGAGCGGATTGTCGGACATCTCGGGGGGAGGAGGTTGGCCGCCCCCCGCGTCTCCTCCTCGGCCTTTCTTTTTATCATCCTCCTTCCCCTCCTCCAAGTCCTCTGTTCATTCTCATCCTCGTCCTCGTCCTTGTCCTCATCCTCACCAGCATCATTATCATCACCACCACCAACACCACCACACCACCACACAACAACACCAAGACCAACATCATCGCCATCATCACCATCATCATCATCACCATCGTCACCATCATCATCATCATCATCATCATCATCATCATCATCATCATCGTCATCATCATTATCATCAACAGCATCTTCATCATCACCATGGCCATCATCATCAACATCATCGTCGTCAGCATCGTCGTCATCATCCACATCAACCTCAACCTCATCATCATCATAATCATCAGCAGCATTATCATCATCATCATCATCATCATACTCATCATCATACTCAGCATCACCATCATTATTGTCGTCGTAAATTTCGTCGTCATCATCACCATCATCATCACCATAATCATCATCATACACATCACAATCGTCATCGTCAGCATCAACATCCTTGTCATAAATACCGGCATCCTCATCCTCACCCGACTCATCATCATCATCATCATCATCATCATCATCATCATCATCATCATAATTAGCAGCAGCATCATCATCATCAGCAGCATCATCATCAGCATTATCACAATCGTCAGCATCATCAGCATCTGCATCATAATCATTATCATCATCAGCATCAGTATCATCCCCATCAACATCATCCCCATCCTACGCCTCATCATTCTTGTTACCATCATCACCATACACAACAGCTACAGCGTCGCCATCATCATGCCGATCCTTCTTCAATTGTCTATCCTCTTTGACCCGTTCCATCATCCCTCATGTTTCCGAAACCCGCTGTCCTCCCTCTTCCTGGCTCCGCCCTCGTCCCTCTTCCTCCCACCTTCTGCGTCCCCCCCCCGCTTCGCTCCTTCCTCCTCCCTTGTCCCTCCCCCCATCGCTTCTCCATCTTCATTGTTCCCCTCCCATCCTCCTCTTCCTTCACCGCTCCTCGCGCCTCCCCCTCTCCTTCTCCCTTCCACCACCCTCCCCCCTTGTCCTCCCCCTCCTCCCTCTCCTCCCTCTCTCGCCCCCCGCCCACCCCCCATTCTCTCGCTCCTCGGGTCCTTTTCACCCTGCTCGCTCCTCTGTCCCTGCTCTCCTCCTCTTCCTCCTCCTCCTTCTCCTCCTCCTCCTCCTCCCCCTCCTCCTCGTCGTCCTCTTCCTCCTCCTGAAGAGGCTGAGCCCAGGCGGAGTAAGCCCAGACGGAGGCAGAGCACTCCGTATGGATCTGCTCCGCCTGGCCTTAGCATCCTCCGTACCCAGACCCCCGACGTCGTGATTCTTTTCTCAACGTCGACCCCCAGACGTCTGGACCCCTTCCCTGGGACCGGCTTCTCATCCTGAATCGGTTTCTGACGGTCCCGGGGCCCAGTAAGGGCCACCAGACAGTGAAACGATAGAAAAACCTCCCGTCGTGATTTTTTCAAGACGCGAAGAGGTCTGGGTCCGACTCCTCCTCGGAGCTCCTCGGTGTAGCCCGCGGCCATGGTGCGTCTGCGGCGGCACGGGAGCCGCGCGGATCCAGGGGGGCGCAGCAGTCTGTAAGTGCTTGCGGCGGCGACGGCTGCGGGGAGCTGGGGGGGGGCAGGAGGACGACGACGACGGCGGCGGCGAGAAATTAGGAGAGGGCGGCGAGGAGGAGCGCGAGGAGAAGGCCGAGGGCGAGGAAGAGTTCCCAGACCCCCTCTCGTTGTGTCAAAATCACGGCAGGAGGTGTTTCGCTGTTTTCGGCCTCGAGGGGTCCGTGCTGGGCCCTGGGCCCGTCAAAAAACGACTCAGGATGAGAAACCGGTCCCAGGAGGGGGCCAGACATCTTGGGGTCGACGTTGCGAAAAAATCACGACGTCCGGGGTTGGGGTTGGGGGCCGATGAGGTGTGGGGTGGAGGAAGAATAATGGGAGGGTGCAGGAGGAAACGGGCCAAGGGGAGGAGGGCGATGAGGAGGAGCACGACTAGGAACGATAAGGAGCAAGAGGATGAGGGTGAGAAGAGGCGGGACGTACACGAGGAAGCGGATGCCGACGAGAAGCACGCGGCAGTAATAATGGGAAAGAGGAGAGCACCTGTACGGATGCGCGGGGGAGAAGAAGCAAAAGGAGGCAGAAAGGACCCTTGACACACACATTAGGCGGAGGACCCGATAGGGCGAAGAGTGCAATGCCAATGCCGACAAGGTTGTCATTACGCGTGGACCGACAATAGTGATAATGTGGCGGGGAGGGCACATGATGATGTACACGGACGAGGCGAGGACGCTGGAACTAACCCAGGAAATATGGTAAGGCTTCGGGGGACGATCCGAACTTCTAAGCAACGCGACGGTCGCAGAAAGGGAGAGGTGTAGAGAAATAGGAGGGAGATGACACATTGAGAAAAGAAGGAGCAGGATGAAGAGAGGGATGCGACCAACACGAAGAAGCCTGCGAGCGGAATGCGAAACAACATGGAAACCAAGAGGAGGAGAAGGGAGAGGCGAACACGAAGACACAACTGAAAGAGCGATGGTAAGAAAGGTACCACGACGGTGAATTCGAAGAATATGATCACGATGGTGATGGCGATGTGTATGATGATGATGATGATGATGATGATGATGATGATGATGATGATGATGATGATGCTGACGATGATGACGATGATGTTGCTGATGATGATGCTGATGATGCTGGTGGTGGTGATGATAGTGGTGCGTTTGACAACGCTGAGTTTGACGATGGTGGTAACGGCCATGACGGCGATGATGAAGGTGCGCGTGATAAGAATGGCGATGGTAATGGCGATGATGATGGCTGTGACTTGGCACTGATATTGATGCTGATGCTTGTGATGTTGATGGTGTTGGTGATGCTAATAATGTTGATGGTGATGTGGTTGATGATGGTGATGATGGTGGTGATGATGATGATGGTGGTGATGATGATGGTGGTGATGATGCTGATGATGAGGATGATGATGCATCTGCGGGCGGCGCCGACGAGGCCATGTGCCGCGCGGAAGCATGTACGAGCGAACCTGGATTGTCACCGAGCTCAGGCGTGTCCTGCGCCCCCCCCCCTGCCGGGCAATACCAAGGGGGGGGGAGGGCCACCGCTCGGGAGGGCGGCCCCTTTTCGGGGGTGCGCAAACATGGATTAGCGATCCATGGACTTGGCGCGCGGTCGCCAAACCCATGGATCGGGGGAGGTGCCCTCCCCAAAATGCGGCCGGCGCCGTCGCTAATTCGGCGGCGGACATCTGCAATTCCCCATGAAAGCAGGACCCGTCGCTAATCCACGCCCCCTTGATCCATGTCTGCGATCGCCTGACCACCCCTGCCGGGCAACACCAAAGGAGGGGGGGGGGGGGGCACCGCTCGGGCGGGCCGCCCCTCCCTCGAGAGGCAGCGCCGTTGGCCTCGCGGCACTGCCCTCCCCCCCCCCCAGGAGCGCCCCAGAGCCCCCCCACAACGACCCCGGCGGTGACCCCGGACGTCCAACAAAAAGCCTTCTCGATAGCTTCTCGGGGGGGCACACAGGCTGAGGCTGGCTGGGGCAAAAGTGGGGTCTGAAGGAAAAATCGCTCCGAACGGCCCCACGGAGAAGGAAGGAACCCGGAGGTCCCACCCCCACACCTTCAAAAATCCCCCCCCTCTGCACCCCCCCCCCCCCTCCCCCCCTTTTCCCGGCAAAACCCCCCCTAACCCTCCCCCCCCCTCCGCAAAAACGGGGGGGGGGGTAAACGGGAGCATCCAGCTGGGCCCGCTCCAAGGCCCCACCTTGGGACAACCCTCCCTCTACGATCAGGTCGGGCATGTCCCCCTACAGGCGGATTCTGGACGAAAGAAACCAAATACGTTTTTCTTTGGGGGGCAATCGTCACCAGACCATCTTTGGACTATTTCTATAAGAGTCCTCCTGCTGTAGAGGGCCACGCCCGACAGCATCCTGGAGCGTCGCGGCCCTCAAGAGGAGCCCGTGTCCCCCCCCCCGAGTAGTAAAGGTGTTTTGGTCAACTTGGGAATGCAGATCTCTTGGTTCAGACATGAAAGCGGATACGTTTGAGGTCTTGGGGGGGGGGTCTGCGCATCATGCAATTTTCATGTGACTTCCAGGGGGGGGGTCTGCGCATCATGCAATTTTGCATTTGAGCTCCAGGGGGGGGTCTGGCGCCGCCGCTGCCGGAGACGCTGACGCCGAAAACGACGACGGCGACGACGCCGAGTGGTGACCCCCCCTCCCCTCTGGCGCTGCCCGGCCCTGTCCCTCCGCGCGCCGCAGGCCCACGAGCCCCCCGCGCGGCGCGGCAACAAAAAACACGACGCGGGAGGCGTTTGTTCGCTGCGTTTTCGGTCCTCCAAAGGGGGGGCCCTCGCCCGGCCTCGGGAGCGCCAACAAAACGACTCGTCCTCCTCCTCCTCCTCCTCCTCCTCCTCCTCCTCCTCCTCCTCCTCCTCCTCCTCCTCCTCCTCCCTCCTCCTACCTCGTCGCCCCAACACTGCCCCTGGTCGCCCCCCCCCCCCCCCCCCGTGCGCCGCCCCTCCTCCCTCTGCCCCCCCTCCCTCGCCCCCCCCCTCCCAGACCCCATCGCGTTGCGAAACAATCGCGACGGGAGGTATTTCGCTTTTTTCGGCCTCAGGGGGGCCCTTGTCGGGCCCTGGGAGCGTCAACAAAACGACTCGGGAGGAGAAGCCAGCCCCCAGCCCCGGGGAAGGGGTCGAGACCTCTGGGGGTCGACGTTCTGAAAAAATCACGGCGTCGGGGGCCTGGGGGGGAGGAGCGGAGGTGGGAGAGGCGGGGGGCAGCCTGTGGGGGACGCTTGCCGCAGGGGGCGGACACGGCCCGCCCCCCCCTCCCCCCAACACACTCTCGTGGCGGCAAGGCCCAGAGAGGGAGAAGAGGGAGGAAGGGGACGGGAGGGGGAAAACGAGAGGAATGAATAGGGCAACGAACAATGACATAAACATGCAAACCAAACATCGGCGCTGGGGCCCCCTGGCAGCGCCTCCAACGCCGCCCCTGGCGCGCTCCACGCGCGAGGGAGGGGGTCCACCGCCGATGCGAGAAATCCCTGTGGCCTCCGAGTTTGTTTTATGTTTATGCCTCTGCTTGCTCCCGTAATGTTAGTTCGGGCATGTCCTCCTACAGGCGGACTTAGCAAAAGAAAGTCGCCGGCCCAACGGGCCAGAGACGTGCTAACGTGCTAAGATCTCTGGTAACTAGTTCTCAGTATTTCTAGTTCGCGCGCGCGCGGGGCGCCCCCTGGGGGTCCCAGGACGAAAAGCACCCCGGCAAGGTCCCGGGAGAAGCCCCCAGAGCGCTCCAGGAGCGCACCAACAGGGCCCCGAGACGTCCCCGAGAGTCCCAAGAAGGGCCAAGAGAGAGCCCCAAGAAGAGCCAAGAGCGCCCAAGAGGCCCCAAAGATGGTACACCAAGGGTCCGATATGCCACAAGATCGCTCCAAGACGCTCAAGATAGCCCCCAGACGCCCCACGAGGCTTTCAAGAGCACGCCCAAGAGGGCCCCAAGAGGCAAAATTGGGAGATTTTGGCGTTTCCACCTTTTCGGCATCGCGACGCCCCCAGGACGGCCCAAGAAGCCCCAAAGATCGCCTTAAGAGGCCCCAGAGGCCTCCGACAGGGCCCCAAGACAGCCAGCCCAAAAGGGTTCCAAAACGACCCAAGAGGCCTCCAAGACGGCCCAAGAGGGCCCCAAGAACGCTCTGAGAAAAGCCCCAGAGGGGGAACACGAAACAATATGTCGAGCCCTCGGCCCTAAGAAGCCCCCAGGAGGCGCCAAGAGACCCCTAAGAAGCCCCAGGAGGCCCCCAAAATGCCCTTCGAGGCCCCCAAGAAGCTCCCAAGCGGCTCTCAAGCGGCTCCAGGAGGCCCCCCAAATGCCCCCCCGACCACGCTAGCAAGTGCCAGCGATGCTACAATATGGGCAGCGAGCACAAAGAAGTTCTGGGAAACTTCTGCACAGCGCTCCGTCTGCCCTCCTCAGGCACAAGGCAGCTCAAGAGACCTCCAAGACGGCCCAAGAGGCCTCCGACACGGCCCAAGATGGCACCAGGACAGCCCAAAGAGGAGGCCCAAAGTGGGAACCGGAACGGACATATCGAGCCCTCGGCCCCAAGCGGCGCCCAGAAGCCCCAAGATGCTCCCAAATGCTTCCAAAGGAGCTCCAAGAAATCCCAAAGAGTCTCCAACAGAAACCCAAGAGGCCCCCAATATACCCCCAACGAGGACCCCAAAAGGCCCCCAGAAGCCCAAACGCCAGCGAGGGCACAATACGGGCCGGCGGAATGAGCGAAGCGATGAATAAAACATTCCCAATCATAATCTGATTCGGGCTATCGGGCGATAGGGTTATAGGGCCATAGGGTTATAGGGCGATGTGGCTATAAGGCTATTGGGCTATAGGGCTACAGGGCTAGAGGGCTATCGGGCTATTGTGCCATGGGGCTGTAGGGCTATAAGGCTATAGGGCTATAAAGCACCCGGGAACTCGGCGGCGAACCTAGCACCAGGGCACCCGGGCACCCGGGAAATCGGCGTCGAACCTCACCTAACCTTATGAATCCGCTAGGACCCCTACGGAGGCAAGCTCTGATTTGGAAACAAATAACCAGCAAGAGTCGCAAAATCGTCCCCATATTAATTGTGTCTACTATTTTGAATATTCCTCCTGTACAGGGACACGCCCAACTTAACCATAATGAGGGGGACCTCGGATGCGCCACGACGGGGCACTGGATAGGAGGCAGGCCTAACCCACACCACTCCCGCCAACATGCAAGCATGGGAGAGCTCGAAGCCGTAAGCCCGCCCACGCTACGCAGGGGCTTCTCACATCTTTTCGCGGCCGTTCGGGCCAGCAGACACAGATCAAAGTGACAGACGACGACGCTGACAACGATCGTGACGAGAACGGAAAGCCCTCTGCTGCTTCTTCCCTCCTCCCTCTCTAGTCGATCCCCGCTGCGTCCTCACCTCCCCCTTCCCCCTCCTTCCACCTCGGGGGGCTTTCCCGTCACTGCGCCTCCGCGCGGGCGTTTCGGGGATCCTCGCCTTCCTTCCTCATCTTGATCCTCACCTCCCTCCCCCCTTCCCCTCCTCCTCGGTCGGTCCGACGGTCGGAAACTGCCGGCAAGACTGGGTCGCCGCCGAACCTGGTACAGAAAGCAAGGGACAAGAGCAGGGGAGCGAAGCAGAGCCGCCCCCCTGCCCCTTCTCTTAGGTCGGGCATGTCCCCCTACAGGCGGATTTTGGAGGACAAATTAAAATAGTCCAAACACATCCCGGAATTATCAAAAATAGTAGAAAAATCGTCCCATGACTATTTTTCTAATACTTCTCGAATATTCCTCCTGAAGAGGGACGTGCCCACCCTGCCCCTTCTCGAGGAAAAGCAACCATCGGGTCCGCGCGGACGCCTTGGATCTGCGCAGGGCCCCAGGAGGCAGGCGCCTCCGAGGGGGCTGGGCGCCGAGCCAAGAGACTCGCGCGGAGCTCTGGAAGTTGATGGCTATGTAGTTGTTTCCTCCTCCTCCTCCTCCTCCTCCTCGACCTCCTCCTCCTCATCCTGCCTTAGAATCGGGAACTTTTGCTCAGCGTGTCGCGGCGACGGGCCTGGCGACACGCCATGCCCTGCCAATGGCTAGCGAGTCGCTCCGCTCCGCGGGACGGGAGGCTCGGCAGGGCCCTGGATGCCGATTCCGACGCCAGCGGGCCTGGAAGTGGCTAGCGCGTCGCGCCGAAGCGTGATAGGCCAGATCTGGCGGAGCGACACGCTAACCCAATGTTCCCGACCGTGCCCCCCACTGCTCGCCATCGCTCGGACGTCCATTCCCTGTGCATGGTTCGGCTTCGTGCGTGCATGTCCCCGCCTGGTGAACGAAGATGCTCCTCGGTGGTCCGTGCCGAGAGAAGACGCACATGTCCGAGCGATGCCAAGAGCGTCGATGGCTGCCGGGCCATAACTCGCGTCTCGGGCAGCCGATCGGGGCGACTCGGGCAGCCCCAGGGCGCTCTCGACAGGGCGCAGCTTCTGGAACGTGTCCCGAGGCTGGAGAACGGCCGGGAACGTCCCTCGGGTCGGGCGAAAGGGGGGGATAGCAAAGGGGGGGTTTGAGAATCAGCTCACGTAGCTGATTTTCCCGGCGCCTCCCGGCGCCAGAGGCGGCCATGTATCGAGGAATGGGCCCCTCGGTGAGGCCGAAACCAGCTGCATGCAGCAAATTTCGTAACCCCCCCTTTCCCTATCCCCCCCTTTCGCCCTGCCCGAGAGGCACATGTCCGAGCGATGCCAAGAGCGTCGATGGCTGCCGGGCCACAGATCGCGTCTCGGGCCGCCGATCGGGCGAACTCGGGCAGCCAACAGGGCCTCTCGACGGGCGCAGCTTCTGGAACGTGTCCCCGAGGCTGAAGGAGAAGGAGGAGGAGGAGGAGGAGGAGGAGGAGGAGGAGGAGGAGGAGCCTTGACCGAGGAAGACTTGGAGGAGTCCACTCTCGTGCGGCCGCCGTCGACCCGCGAGAACTGGCTCAGCCAGGTCTTTCTTGGTCAAGAACCTCGAGCCCTGACGTGGCCTCAGCAGGGGCCAAGCCAGGGGGGTGAGCAGCCTGGAACATGTACCTATCCCTAAGCTGGGCATCGCCCCATCACGATGCCAATCTTAGGGGTTCCTTTCGTTTTTGAGGGCGCATCCCTGAGATTGTCATTTTTGTTTAAAGGTCTTTCGTGGTCAAGAGCCTCGAGCCCTGAACCTCCCCCCGCGATGGGACCCGTCGCGCCCCCCCGCCAGCCTCGAACGCATCCCTATCCCCAAGAGTGGCATGCCAACAGGCGATGACAATCTCAGGGATGCGCCCTCCAAAACGAAAGGAACCCCGAAGATTGGCATCGTGATGGGGCGATGCCCAGCTTAGGGATAGGGATGTGTTCCAGGCTGCTCACCCCCTGGCTTGGCCCCTGCTGAGGCCACGCCAGGGCTCGAGGTTCTTGACCAAGAAAGACCTGGCTGAGCCAGTTCTCGCGGGTCGATGGCGGTCGCACGAGAGTTGACTCCTCCAAGTTTTCCTCGGTCAAGGCTTTGGGACGTTCCCGGCCATTCTCCAGCCTCGGGACACGTTCCAGAAGCTGCGCCCTGTCGAGAGCGCCCTGGAGCTGCCCGTGCTGAGGCCACATCGCCGCCCGACGCCCGGAAGACGCGGCCCAAAGGCCCTCGGGCACCGCGGAGCTGCGTGGGGCGGGCCCTCCCGCCACTCCGGTGGACCCACGTACTCGGCAGTCCAGCGAACAGTGCCTCCCCCTCCTCCTCCCCCTCCTCCTCCTCCTCCTCGTCCTGCTCCTCCCCCTCCCCCTCCCCCTCCCCCTCCCCTCCCCCTCCTCCTCCTCCTCCTCCTCCTCCTCCTCCTCCCCTTCCTCCTCCTCATCCTCCTCCGCCTCCTCTCATCCTACCTCCTCCGCCTCCTCCTTCCTTCCTCACTATCACTCCTCAACAATTACACAAATAGAAAATCTCTCCCACTTCCACGATAGCGTCACGAAGATATCCGAACCCCCACCCAGCGTACTGTTTTTTTACACACAGGATTCCCGGGAAACGGGTTTCGCCTGCGTTCTTTTTTTCCAAAATGGCTCTCGCTGAGGCGCCGGCATCACTTCTGCTCCCGTCATTTCTGCTCCCGAATCGTTCCGAATCGTGCTCCCGCTGCAGCGTGGGCCTCATTTTCGGATCGGTGTTTGGCCTCCGTCGTTCGGGATGGCGTTCTCGCCCCAGCGCGGGCCTCTTTCTCGGGCGCCCATCCGCCCGCCACCACCGCGCCGCACCACCACCACCACCACCACCACCACCACCACCACCACCACCACCACCACGACAACCGCGCACACACGCAGGCACGCACGCACGTGCACCGCCACCCACTACGCACGCGCGCGCGGAGCCACAGGTCCGCTACGACACGCGTCCGCGGATAGAGAAAATCAGCGCCATGGTAATTAAGGGATGGGAGGGAGGGGTAGGACGTCAGATATGACGCGAGCGCACCTAGCTTGTCCCCCTCCCCTCCCCTCCTCCCTCCTCCCTCCCCTCCCCCTTTACCCTCCCCCTCCTGTTTTTTCCTCCTCCTCCTCCTCCTCCTCCTCCTCCTCCTCCTCCCCCTCCTCCTCCCCCCGCTCAAACTCCCCTGCCCGTCTGCCCCCTCCCCCCCTCCCCCCCTCCCACGGGCGGCGGGGCCTGCTGCCGCACTGCGGCGGCGCCGGTGGGAG